AACGTAACGTAACGTAACGTAACGTAACGTAACGTACGTACGTACGTACGTACGTACGTACGTACGTACGTACGTCGTCGTCGTCGTCTCTCTCTCTCTCTCTCTCTCTCTCTCTCTCTCTCTCTTCTCTCTCTCTCGCTCTCTCTCTCTCTCTCTTTTTCTCTCTCTCACTCACTCTCACTCTCACACACTCTTTCTTTTTTTCTCTCTCTGTCTGTTTTTGATCGAAAATTCAAGTAGCGCGGGTAGCCGAGCGTAATTACAGGCGCGTCGCGACGCCTCCGTCGCGTGTAACAGGTTGTAATTTCATTCGAGCCTCGTCGGCGAGCAAACTCGTGCTGAAAGTGTTTACTTGAGATCGCGTGGCACTCTGAGGCGACTGGAAGGCGCGTGGATAAGTACTCGTAAGTACGCGGACGATTTTTTCAAGCTCTCGTTTAAACATGACAGGCTCTTAACTATCCGATGCATTTAATTGTGCTTCGTTGTATGATCGATTGAATTAAAGGTCGATAGGTTTCCGAATACTTTTATTTTTCTTCAAACCTCTTGATTATTGTAAAGTAAATTTTCTGCAGAAATTTTATTAAATGTCATCTATTTTCGTAGCTTCATGAATATCAAATATCTTGCTAGTAAATCTGTTACTTATTTACATTTTTATAAATAACTCGTAGATTTTGCAATCTTGTTCTGTGATGAAATTTTCGTATAAAATAGAAAGGAAGAAAGTTTTTATCTACGCTGTAATCTAATTTATTTTTAGCTTTTTAATTACTTATAACATAATTACGAAGGCGGCTTTTAATTTAGAATCTGCACATTGTTGTTTCTTTTTAAGAGACAATGAATATATCGCTTTTCTAATAATCGCCACGTGTGCAGCATCGCTTTCAAAGTGATACACATTATTGTAGAAACTGTTATTATTGAAACGCATTGTTATTATAAAGATTAAATGCAACGCGAAGCTCCTGCTGCAGTTGCTAAACATAGTTGACAGAAGCTCTTAATTATTCCGTGCGCGTATTCTACAAACTAATCGAATAACGTCAATCATTTCTCGTTTCTGGAAGACTACGCTCGAAAATCAACTTGCTGCCTTTATCGGACAGTCTGCATTTAATCTTTTTATTCGAGATTCTTCTTGCTCTAACATCGCATATATTATTTTTCTAAAATATATTAGAACTCATCGCACAAGTCTGATCGAAGAATTGCCAAAACATGTCCGGATGTCAGGACCATCTGGCTCTTCTCTCAACACATTCCAGTATGAGGAAACGTATGTTTCCTCTTCTCGATGTCATGGCAACGTCACGAAAGTACTTCTTCCTGATCTTGTCTTGTTGAATTTGTTCGAAACTTCACGAGTAAATCGCACCATCGGGACGAGTTTTATTTTATTTTTGCATGAATCTGTCAAATCTAAATTGTTTTAAAATTACATGTTGTTGATTATAACTTAATTAATTTTCTACATAACAACAAATAACAATTTCATGATAATGGAATAAGAAATAACGAGAGGCAAATAGAAATTCTAGAATATCCATAATTTATCTCTTGAATAATAAATTACCAATCATTTTACGCGTAATTTATTTTAATCAGAAGGCAAAAGTGCGTGGAACAATGTTTATTAGATTTTATAGCGTGTAATTGTCATGAAAATGTTGATTAACAAATCGTGATGAACTGTTCTGTTCGATCAAATATTTATTCGTCTTCCGGACACACATATAGCATGTACAAAACTAAGTGCTCGCGTAATAGATCGGTTTATATAATGGAATTACGAGAGAAATAAAGTCAACTGCGTCCAACTGTCACAAATGCGATCAGGCGGATAATACAATGCGATAATCGACTTTTTCTATAAAACGATGAGAATGAAGCGTACAAAAGGTGCGCACAAAAGGTTTACTGAGACGACGAGAAATATATAATAAAAAAGAAATGTTACATAAATATTTAATCGAAAGAAAAGATTATAAGAAACGTTTATTAAACGACGTTTATTAAATTAAAAAGATGTGTTTTAAAGAATTTACACGTAGCTTCTTCTCGATTTTAATTATGTACGTTTATCTCTTCAATGTGAAGAGACTGAGATTTAAAGCTACTTAGGTACGCAAGCATGAATACGAAGCAGATTCATAACGCGAAGCGTTTGTAATATAACTCCGCAACTAATTAATAAGGGATCTTGCGTAATTAAGCGATCGTGCAAATCATTATGCTCGCACTACGGGATCAGAGAGGCACAATCGATCGCGCGCAATCGATTCCGCAATCGGGCGCGACTCAATAAAACGAGGAAAGGCCGAAGCGTACGAGAAAGAGAGAGAGAGAGAGAGA